AGCTGTTAAATCCTACAAAAGCACAACTAATCTGGGCTCTGGAAATGGACAAAAGACCACTTTTTCAACTCTTAATGTTGTTGTTTTTTTGCCACTTGTGAGAACGGGAATTTCCTAGAGACTGTCCTCCTGCCCAAGCTTATAGGCAGTAGATTTACATGCCCTTGATTTAGATAAGTCGGCATCATAAATACTTTATCTTTACTGACAATCTGACCTGAGGGCAGCATATAGAAGGGGAACAATAACGGACCAAGGATTGACCCTTGAAGAACCCCATGACTGAAATGGGATAAGAGGAGTTCCCAACCACAACAGAGAATAAGTCAAGGATAGGATTGTAATCATCAACAGCAGCCCATTTTGAACAGACTCAGGTTTTAAAACACTGTAACGGGACAGAGTGGCCTTCAGTGTCAAAGGCTGCACTCAAGCCTAACAGAAGGAGAATGGAGCTCTCACTCTTATCAACAACAAGGAGTAGATTATTTGTTATCTTAACCGAGGCTGTCTCAGTCCCAGAAACAATTACTTTCTCCGACACATTAGATAAGACAATTATTTTACATAAGTCAGTAATTACTGAGTGAGAGGTTAAAGAGTTTTTAAGGCCAGGGGGTTCGACAGTTGCTGTGTTTTAAAGAAGAAGGAAAAGAAGTAGTTGGATTATAGACATGTGTATGGTGAGTTTGTTCATTTGTCAGAAGCAGAGACAGAACAAAAGTAGCATAAAAAGAAAGCAGCCTCAATCGCACAAGAATACTAAAGAACATTGTAAGAGTAAAATGATTCAGCAGGTTTTATTGCAACTTGTATTACTTACAGGTTTCTAAATAACTGTTTGTAGGACTATCTAATTTTGCTAAATTATGAACATAGAATAATCATCTAAATCCTACTACTTTTCCCCAGTGGCTATGGCTTGACCCTATTGTCCCAGTATAGAGGAACAATTGGGAGATCTGATCTTGGCATCAGTCCATGGTATTTGTCTGTCATGGGTCATGGTGGACAGCACCTCCCAAATGCCAGGGGATGAAGCTAGCAGGGCTGTGGGAGAACTCGGGACAATGGGAGAGGATTGAGCTCAGGATTTGTCCTTGTCCTTATTCGTTATCCATCATCCATTTCAATGAATCAGCCAACTGCCCCTAGACCTGGGCACTGATGCACACACGCTGCAGCAAGAGGTGCTGGATAAACTACTACAGAATTCATCAGTGCCATTGTTTGACATAATGAGTTCCCAGTCCAAGTTGTTGAGTTGACCTATGTTTTAGTACATCAATCCAGTCCACCACATATGTCCAGACTGAGATGTAGAACAAATTAAATTTGTGAGACATTCTCAATCCCTTGAGGATTACGTATGATGTCTCAACAACTATTGGATGGATTGGCACAGTCTTTCCTGGATTATAGATGATGATGCAATATCTTAATGACTGTTGGGTTGATTGCCATGAAATTTGTTGCATAAAGGACAGTTAAATTAAATTCCAATAACTCTTAATTGCAATTTTAATTTTGGTGGTAATATGTTGCTAAAACTCATAAACATAATTACATTGTCATTGTGAGGATGTTAGCTTTTAGGTCAGTACAGCCACACTGAGCTGCTAGACACCTATTAATCCAACTTCTTTTAAAAGGCTTTAAGTCCAAGGATGGCAGAAGTATTTCAGTGGTCAGATGTGTCAAATTAATTTATGAGTAACCTAGTTTAGCTCTTAAAGGTTCAGTGTGTAGAATCTAGTGACATCATGGTGCAGTTGCATGTTGCAGCTAAATATCCCTCACCTCACCCTCCCCTAAACATGAAGGAGAACCTGTGGCAGCCTTCAGTTTTCATAAAAACTCGAAAGGTGTTTAGTTTGTCCAGTTTGGACTACTGTAAAAAACATGGCAGCCTCCATAAAGAAAATATAAAGTATTTACATATAAAATGCCTTTCTAGGGTAAAGAAAACAACAATTCTAGTGAATCTAGAATAGTAAATCTAGTGAAAACATTACTATGAATATTTTATATCTATACTTCTGCCAATACATGCCTTTCACCTTAATCTTATACACTGGACCTTTAATTAGCTCATTCTGATAACTGTTTCTGTCAGTTCAGATATTTCATGGTATTTTCACCTGTGTTACAGGAGTGTAGTAAAGCAACCCAGCGACTCATATATTGTGTCTCTGCTGTGTGTTTTAGGTTCCTATTGGTACAGAAATAGATGGCATGAACATCTTGGGTCTGGTTTTATTTGCTATGGTGTTTGGTGTGGCTCTGAAAAAGCTGGGAGAGGAGGGGGAGGAACTAATTCGCTTCTTCAATGCTTTCAATGAGGCTACCATGGTACTGGTGTCCTGGATCATGTGGTGAGTAGAGCTGGATGCACATGGGATTTTTACTGCTGCAATGTAAGCAATATACAGTATCTGAAGTTCATCTGGTAATCTGATTTTCTTTCTGCATTTTCTTATCTCTCAGGTATATCCCTTTTGGCATCATGTTCCTGGTGGGCAGTAAGATTGTTGAGATGGAAGATGTGGTTCTTCTGGTGACCAGTCTGGGAAAATACATTTTTGCTTCGATCCTGGGCCACATCATCCATGGAGGCATCGTCCTGCCTCTCATCTACTTCGGCTTCACACGCAAGAACCCCTTCAGTTTCTTGTCAGGCCTCATCACACCCTTCACCACGGCCTTTGCCACCTGCTCCAGGTATACTGTCCTTATGAACTGTATTAATAGGTAATTTACATTTTAGTGATAAATATCTATGTGATTTAAAAGTCAGATGTGGGCCAGGTAGACTGGCAGGACCTTTCCAAAGGGTTTTGGTGATGGCAGGGATGAAGACAGGGGTACTAGTGAGGTAATTAAAAAAGATTTGGAGACCCAAACTGCAATACAATGTACGCTGTGTAGTGCCACTCTATTCTCAAGGCTGTCCTTTGTGGGGTGTATTACAAACTTATGTTGTAAATTACCTCTGTCCTAAAGAGATTATCTCAGTCAAGGGACAGAGACGATGACTGTTTATAATAGCTTTCGACCTGGGCTGTCTTCATAGCTATCATAGTATGGTTTTTAGCAAATGGCATTAATCAGGACTTGTGTACAGAAGCATGGCATCATACTACATAGACTCCTTTTTTTATTATACTCCTATTTGTGCACAGCTTCCCTGACAAACAAATATATCTATACGGTGTTTCAACTTCTTTGTTACAGAAGAAGCTATGCCCCGTTTATCCGGGAACATAAATATGAATTCAGCAGGTTTTTATAAAGATCAGTTCTAAGTGCGATGATTAGAAAACATCAGAGGAGTCTCTTGTTGACCTGCACAAAGTAACGCACCTAACACAGGCCAGGACAGCCAGCACAGGGCCTTGTTTAGAGTGGTGTTGGACAGCTGAAGCTCTGGACCTCTGGGAGGCAGAGACTGTTACAGCTTTGCAGTGTTAGAGCTTATGGGTCTTTGGTTGAGAAACTTGAATTAATAAATTGGTAATAGTTTCTCTAAAATGGCTGACAAAGATGCTATAACTTCACTAATGTACTGTATCTCTCCCTGTCACTCCACAGTTCAGCAACTCTTCCCTCTATGATAAAGTGTGTTGAGGAGAATAATGGTGTGGACAAACGAATCAGCCGTTTCATCCTTCCCATTGGAGCCACAGTTAACATGGATGGGGCAGCCATTTTCCAGTGCATTGCTGCCGTCTTCATTGCTCAGCTCAATAATGCTGAACTGAACGCTGGACAGATCTTCACCATCCTGTGAGTCCTGGGGATGATAGAAATGTTTCTCTCTTTTTGTTTAGCATAACCATTCACTTTCTGTTGCTTCCTAATTGGTATGGGGGGTATATTTTTAATTCATGGTGTTATTGATTAACATAGGGTGACAGCCACAGCCTCCAGTGTCGGCGCAGCAGGCATCCCAGCTGGAGGCATCATCACCATCGCCATCATCCTGGAGGCCATCGGCTTGCCAACCAATGACCTGTCCCTCATGCTGGCTGTCGACTGGATAGTGTGAGTAAAACCTGTGAACCCAGCCGCTCTCAGAAAACGCACAAAAACCTTGGGTCATGCATGCACACACATTGCCAACATTGTAGTAAGCGAAACTAGACTAGGGTTTCCCAACAGACAGGTCATCAGGCAGGAAGCAAAGGTACACAGTGTGAACAGTGTGTCTGTTGTAATTTCCACAAGCTCCACTGTGTTGTAATAACAAAGCAAACATCCATGCTGGAACACATCTGAAAAAGCATTCCTGCTTCATGAGATTGGCCACAGGTGGCACAGAAGACTGGCTTTCCGTACTCTTTCCAGGGCCTCTACAAGTTCTCATGTTTCTGCCACAAAAACAAGTTTTGAAGATTAGACACTCAGCCCTGTGCAGAAGGAGTTCAATGCTGTTGCTTTTCCATGTATTCGCTCATATGGGGTGATAAGGAGGGCTCTGTGCTCTTTTCAGTACTTTTTTTTGTTTTCTTAAGATGGGAATTGTGTACATTTAACTTAGAGACTATTGTCATAAATTAAATAGATGTAAAAAAAATGTAGTGGCTTAGAATGAAGGGTCTAATCTTACTCTAAATTACTATAACAGGTAACAGTTATATCTCTTAAAGCAACACAATCCAAGATTTGCTCTCGGCTATACTTGGGCTCCCCCTACAGGTGGGATGTATTAAATCTGTCTTAAATCAGAGTTCTGGTTTGAGCCATGTGGTGTTTGCACATTCACTGCACTTAATTCAGAGTAGAACAGTAGCATACAAGCGGACAAGCTAACACATTAAGCAAATAGCCGAGACAGTTATTGATGTAATGGGTTAACCAGGGTTCTGATGATAAACTCGGGAGTCCACTACTTCACTTACATGACAGCCCAACGTCAAATAAGCAGAACAGCAAACAAGCAAAAGTTAAGGGTTTCTTATCCAATAACAAAAACTACGCCAGGTCAGTATCTGTCCTACATTCTTTGGTCACTTTTAGCTCTCACCGACGAATGAATTATGCTCCGATAATCTACTCTTGTTCATTTTTTTACTTTGTCACTTTCTCTTTTCCTCTCCTTTGTTTCCTCTAAAGTCCACATTGAGAATGTCCAGCTAGTTGTCTCTTGTAGCAAGGTGCAAGCTCCAACTCTAGTTGTTGGTGTGTGACGTGGGCCGTAAAACAGGAAGTAATCTTCCAGCCTGGCACGCCAGGGTTTTATAATTTAGTACCAGGCGTCCAGAGATCGCTTTGGCAATGACAGACATGCCATTCTCCCTATTATAAGTCTGTGTACCATCAAAATGATTTTTAAGATGTTATTTAAAAAAACAACCTGAAACCTTAAAGTGATGCTTTAAGGTCAGGGATTTTCACCATGTAATAATCAATTTAAACCATTAAATGTCATTTGACATTTTTGATAAAAAGACAACTGACCTTTGCCGTGTGATACTTAATGTATGTCCACTTTGTACACAGTGACCGTACCACCACTGTGGTGAACGTGGAGGGTGATGCTCTGGGCGCTGGAATCCTCCACCACATCAACCAAATGGAGATGAAGAAGAAGCAGCAGCAGCAGCAGCAGCAGGATGAGGAGCTGGCAGAAGTCAGGGTGGAGGGAGTGGCCAACGCCCAGGCAGAGGAGGAGACCTCGCCACTAGTAATGCACCAAATCAAAGGCTTAGAGGGAACACCAGAAGCTATCGAATCTGTCCTGTGAACTCAGCAAGACCTTTTAACAATTCTGACATTGCTGCTGAGGGGATACATTTCTCACTTGGTGTCCAATGAAAAAAACAAGGTCACTAACGGTTTCAATTGTGAAGGAAAAAAGTGCCATAGTAGCAGCACTGACAGTCCACAGTGTACTTGCTGCTGCTGTTTTAGAATTTGGCCACTTGGACTAACGTCTCAATAGTTGGTTTCCCAAGAAGTGTTTTAATGTAAATTGGGACATAATGGATAAGAAATCATTAACATTCAAAACATTTCCTCAGTATTGCAAAAACATTAATTTAATTTTCACTAAAAGCTGATTTTTTGTACTTTTTAATCTTTATTAAAGCATTTTGTGATAAACAGTACTGGAAACACTGTAAAATATCTTTAAACCATTCCCAGAGATGTCATAGTTCTGTCTCTGTGTTTAATGCACAATCGGAGATGCTCATAGCCATAATTTTGTATGTCAGAGCATTATCTAGTGCATTTCTTTGTTTAAAATACAGTGACCAAGTATAGAAAACTAACTATTTGGCTAAATCCAACTAGTTAAAATGTTTGTGAGTGTCTGTCATAGCTACAAGTTCAGGAAACCTTTTTAGTCAATTAACTCGACTGGTCAAAAACAAATTCTCTCTTTCAATTGAAGTCAGAATGAAAAAGTCACAATCCAGAGAGATTTTTACAGGATACTCACAGTCTTTTTCTTGCTGACCATCAGTTGACAATGTCAAACATTAACCCTTCAAATGAAAAGTTAAGAATTTGGCCTATTGTTTGACAATTTGCCTCATGCAACATGTTGAGTCCCTAGTGACCAGACTGGCTCAGTATGGTAAGATAAAGGCTGGACCAATTTCGAGTAAACAGACTCAGAGTAAGTCACTGGAAAAATCCCTGTCTAGTCTGTTTATCCCAAATAAACAGAATGTTGCGTTATTTGCATGGTTCTCTAATCGTCTAATGGAAAGAAGACCTCTTAAATAGCCAAATGGAAACATGATAAGCCATGAATATGACCAGACTTCATTTCCCTTTTTATATTAGCATTTTACAGTCGTGTCACCATAACTTTGTTAAGACAGCAGGACATTTCCTGTACAAATCTGCTCCACTAATAATGGCCACATTTTGAAGACCCAGTTATCTTAGCTAACTCTCTTAGCTAAAGTTGCATTTATGCACCAAGGAGTCATAAAAGTTTTGTTTGCTAGTTAACCAGCTAAAGCAGTGTTAACATGCAGTTGTCAATTAGCTATGACTTAGAGTAATAACTGGATGAATACCATTCTTAGCCAAAGGTTAAAGACCTCTGTTATGGCTGCAGATCTAAAACCCTGCTGTTCATTAGCATGTTTGTCCTTATGGTCCCCTTGTCTCAAAGAAAATGGGTTTTTTGTTAGATGCCTGTAATAATGTCTGTGGTTAACATTTTTACATTCATTTCTTTGTTCAATTTAAAAATGGCATTGGCTTTTTGTCTAGGGAACCAGGGTGATGCTAACTGTGCATTCAGATGCTCCTCTAGACATTGTTCCGAATTCAGTGTTTTTAAAATAATTTTAAATATATATACAAAACTATGTTAATTTGTTTATAAATGATGATGTCAGCAACTTGGCAACTCGTGTTGTTCCGACTTGAGATGACGTGTTCTCATGAATTCTCCTGGTTGGAAACACATTTTTCTGATTATTGTGACACAACTTGAATGCTCAATCATTTTCAGGTTAGCCTATAAAAGTACCTGTCTCTATCGTCATAAATTTGAAGGCAACTTGAGGATCTAATAGGATCAGACATTGCCAGTCATTGCCAGAATTACACATGATTGAATATTAGTACTGTAAACAAACTGGTTAGACATCATGAAAACACTCCAGTCCCCCATTTATTCAAGAACACACATCTGCCTTATGGTTGTCAGTGTAGTTGTTAAGGTTCACTCAAAAAGCTTCAATACATGTTTGCACACACACTGAACCAAAACTGAAAAGATGAGTTTGAACTATAATGCCATTATTTTGTGAATGCATCTTTTGACTTAATACAGATGTTTCTCGGTTGTGTCTTAATGGCAAAGTGTGCATCATACTAACCTTCATTGGAATTGGTAGATAGCCTACGTGAGGTTTTCTAATACTTTTAATTTGTTTAATTGTTCAGTGCAACCCACTCCCTGTCGGAATCCATCAATCTTACCACTGACATCTTCAATCTGTGGGATAAACTATTAGCTGTGGTTGCTCTAAAGGGAACATTGGTCATTTCCATTATTGTGGCTTACTTGTGGGGATATTATTTAAGTGTGCACTAGACACTGCTCCATATAACTGACTTTTCCTTGATCTAAGGATATATGTCTCCTTTTAGGACACAGGGCTTGACTGAGCCTTTGCTGTCCTCTAGTGGTGATAGGCATTAATGTGAGAGTAAAAATGTGAAGGTGGTTGCAGCTTTGGTGTCCATAAGTTTTCAGATGAAATTAAAATTTCCTATTTATTTGATCTATTATTATTTGTGTGGAGGAGCTGTTGTTAAGGCCACTTCATGTCTCCCTCTTGTGATGGTATGCTGTATTTTTAGAGGTGAAGGATCTCTGTGTATATGAAATTTCATTCATGTTGCTGTCAGTTTATTTCTGAGTAGCTCATTATGATTTGATGGTGCTGCTTTAGTTTTGGATCATGCTGCTCCAAGATGAATTTAATGAATGAGTCTGAACATTTCTTATTGTTCATTTCAGACTTTTCAAAGCTAACTACTGCTCTATTAACCTAAACTGAACTGTATGTGTAGGTTCTGTTGAGTTGATCTGGTACAATAATTTCTTGCATTGTGGGACATATATATTTGATATTAATTTATTGTAATTGTTTTAACTTTTGTATTATTTGTACTTTCCCTCTTTTTTAAATGAATCCTACTGCGAGTTTTCCTGATAACAAATTGTTGACACGTTTTTTAATTTTAAATTTTTTTTAAATGAATAACCTGCTACCTTGCCTGTGCCATGTCACTGTCTAACACTTTACTGCTGTCTCATTGCTCCGTCTGTCTGATAACATTAAAAGTGGTACAGTAAAATTTTTCATGCAACCAAAATGTGAGTTCTGCTATTTCTAACCTGTTATTAGTTCATAATGTTATTCAGGACGTCATGCACAACATTACAGGGGGGCTCTGACTCAGGAGCTGGAGCAGGTCATCCACAGATTGGCAAGTCGGTGGTTTGATCCCCGGTTCATCCTGAACCCCAAAACCAGTGTATGAATGCGATTTGAAGGAGGAGTGATGTATGAATGTGAAAAGACTAAAAGAGTGTTGCTTTGTCTTGAGAGCTTGAAATTTATGATCCTGCAGATTGAGGCTGCACTGCCCTTTAATGGCCTTTATAGAACCTGGCTCATTTCACATGAATCATTGATGCAATGAATCATTGATACATATATAATCATATTTCTGGGTTGATAAGGTCACTGGTGCTGACAATATTATTCAGAGATGACTTGTCCTGTTGGTGACAGTTCTTCCCGTGCTTTAATTTACTTTATCTCATCTGGCAACACACTCTCTTTTGTTGTTACTACTACTATTCTCATGAATTCTCGTTATTATCAACTAAATACATTTTTATTTGTATAGCAAAATACAATATCTCAAGGCATGGGATCTTACAATATTATTGTAAAACCCTTTAGGTCCCACATTGAGCAAACACTTTGGATTGAAAAAAATCCCATTTAATAGGAAGGAACATTGAGAACCATGCAGACTCAATGTAGGAGAGAGAGAGAGAGAGAGAGAGAACGGGAAATGGAAACTGTCTCATTGAAGCTCTTTCAGACTGGTTGTAATTACTTAATAATCTTAGATGTTGTTGAGGAATTTTTGGGCAGCCTCACACATGCATATGCCACTATATATTATGTATATACTGTATATTACATTACAGTAGAATAGTGCTGGTCTAATTCCACAGATACTCCCTTCTCTCTCTAAGCAGTACACAAGGTCAGGTTACAGATAAAGGACCAACCTACAGTGCATTGTAGTGTCTACACTTAAGGACTTTCATATCTAACTCAGATGCTCCAGACAGAGAAGCACCAACTTCAACTCTTTTGCTTATTACACCAGTGTCCAATAGGATGCAAACACCTGTAACATAGAGAGGGACAGCAGTTCTAGCCTTTCATTGATGTGCTGGTAGAATGGGTGATGCAAGCTGAGGAAGATATACTGGGATGCTGTGGGAGACATCTTGAGACTTGGGGGTGACAATGGCTCATGTTACTCTGTCAGCGTTTGTATATTGTTCCACCTTCTGGTCTCCTTGATGTCTACATTAAAATATTCTGCATAACACATGAGCTGCTGCCTGAGTTCTCCTTTCACCAGCTTCCAGAAAACTTCTATAACAGATGTCATAATGATGTAATACATCCATATTATCATGAGTTATAAAAGCATGCTCAGACGGCAGTGGGCTGTCAAATGTGTCAAGTTACACTTCTTACAATTTGCACCATGTGGCTGGTGAGACTGAGGGAAGAGTTAAGGGGACGGTGATGTTGATGGAGAAGTAATGTAGGGGAAGAATCATGCTTATGATTGCAACAAAGATGTAGCCCCTTTGTTCTTATGGGATACACAAATAGAATTTGACTGATTGCACTGGAATTATTTTACTTTAACACATTTGATATATTTTGGAAATAAACACACACACACACACATACACTGAATCTCATTGTGATTCGTGTGCACACGTAAAAATTCCGACAGCCGTGAAGGCAGCAGGATGCTGCTGATGGACCCATGTTAGCTTGCTGCAGGACTCAGGCTGATCTGGATCCAGACTCCTCAGAGCGGATGTCTCAGCGTCTCTAACACTCTCAGGTCTCCGCTGTGGTGTTGAATCGTCGTCTCCACACACACAGGACTCACCGACAGACTGTGGAGACATGACGACCCGGTCAGAGAGAGAAAAAGCTCAGAAACTCAACGAGCAGCATCAGGCCATCCTGTCGACACTGCTGAGAGAGGATGACAACAAGTACTGTGCAGACTGCGAAGCTAAAGGTAAAGACGCTTGTTCCTCTTTCTGCTCTGAAGACATGCACGGAGGAGGCAACTTGGCTAATGGCTGAAGAGCTAAAGCTAGCGGCTTATTACAGCGTTATTCTGATGGGAGGCACTTTTCTGTGCAGCTCTGCCCCCCCCCCCCGTCGGCCCGCTCGTTTCACAGTCAAGTGCATGATCATCATTCACTTGATGGTTTTAATCTCGTGTGATCATCCTGCTCGATGCAGACGTGTGACAAGTTGGCGCTCGTCCAGTCAGAAATAACATGAGAATGAATAACGTTGAGCGACATTTGTGGAAGCAGCGACAAGAGTGCGCCGCTTCCGTTCAGCGCTTTCAAAATACACGTCGTTGAGCGTGGGTAATTTTTGATAGTAATAATACAAAGCGAAAAGGAAAACTATACAAACAAAGAGGTTTTCTTATATCGATATTGTAAGATGAGAGAACCATAGGTTTTCTCATTGAAGGACCTCCCAACAAGATAGAAGATATGTATGTGTCACTTGGAATAATTTCACTATTATTACACTGATATTATCAACACTAGAGAAATATCTTCTATCTATTTTCGCCATGTAAACGCAGAATATCCAGATATTACGACCATTTTAGGGGATTCATCTAAACTTCTATTAGCAGTTAAGGTCCTCTTTTTAAAAAAAAATAAGATGACTTGTAGTTCCGGTCTCGTATTGGATGGCTGCGTCCAACTTGACAGTATCGATGTCGTGTCCTTGACTGGATTATTTATGAGCGGAAAACGTACGTGTCCTGTGAAGGCAACATCAAATGAGAGCTGAACTTTACTGTGGTCACTGGATCACAAACACATCACTTATACTGTCGCACCTGCAGCCAACGCCTCACAGCTGCCCTCGTGTGGAGCAGCCGCCCACCAGACTCCATTCAAAAATGTGAAAGTTTAATTTCTCCCTGCACAGAGTCTTCATTACAGCTTGGTAGAATAGGGTTCATAACACTCAAGGTGCCACTCCTCAATTCGGCATACGTGAAAGTAAATCATAACATCACCGTTGTAGAATAAGATGCACATTTAAAATGTGCACATCTTTTTTAAAATAAATGCCAGGATTAGTCCAGGAGAGTTTTATTAATGAAATTATATCATGCACAATCGATGCAGCAACATAGCCACTGGATCGTAATTGTTGGTAAACGTGCAAATCGAAGCGTGTGTTTGTGGATGAGTCTGGAATTCCCCGACTTTTGCCTGGAGTTTGAACGTGTCGGGGGTACCTATGACAGAGATTAGACGCCTCCTGCGTCATCACTCCGTACAGGACCTCCCTCACACAGGGATGCTGTTTGGATCAGTCACCTCCTGCAGCTCAGGCTCCAGCTTTCAATCGAAGTCTATATCTTCCTCTAAATACACGTCATGATTGTATCCTGCCAACCTCAACCTAGATTATCTCGTTTTTTCTTGCATTACATCCACAGTAACCAACCTATCAAAGCAAGTACATTTTTATCATAGTGAAAGTATTTATTAACGACAATGCTCAAATAAAAAATATTAGTACATAAAAAAAATTATTACTTTTTACTTATCCTTCAATTGACTTGCAGCCTAACTCACCAGAATGAGTGTATGTAATGCAATTGTTTTTGTTTGCTAAAGAATACATGGCTGCTCTGTAAATCACTTTATGTGAAATCTCCTTCGAGGACAAACTGTTTAGTGGTTGAATTTGTGAATCACATCCTTGCATTGTAATTTCAAAACCACACGTCACCTTTGGTAGAAATCTGTCAGCTTTGGCAGCTAACACGACCTATTCTAATGAGAGACAGCAGCTGGTAGCAGAGACCATACACAAAGTCACCTCCACAGGTGATGAGAAATGATGTGTGCTTGTCCAACACGCACTGCAGGACACTGGGTATTTGCCAAATGTGCTACATCAATGCAGTGACTCATATAGCTGCAGTGTGAAGGGGCAGAGCTTCACTCCTGAGAAACATTTCTTGATGAAGACACAGGATAATGAAAAGAGACTCTGGAGTGAGACTTTTTCCTCCATCACCATTTCACACACTGATCTCTGACCTGACAAACTTATGTGATAAACCCTGTGATAATGATCACTCATTACTTCTTAGAAGGGCTGTCGTCTTTAACAACCTTTTTATGTTGATCAGTCGTTTTGGGTTGTTTACTGGCCCCTGCTTGTTTGCACATCTCACTGACGATATAGTTTTGAAACTCATCAATAATGAACTGGTAATATGCAGATGGAGACCTTACTTTACAGCAGCCAATCAGATCTTGCATGAATCCGTGAGGCCAGTGTTCTGTCATAGGCTGAGCAGATGGTCTCACTGAGCTGGACCACACAGCATAAGAGCTTCAAACTCTTCACAGCAGCTCACCTTCTCTTTCCTGTCCTCCTTCCTCTCTGAGCACGCGTCATGTCGTGCATCCTAGCCTAACAATCGACCAAACGAACATTCACAGGGCTAAGGGCAGTGATAACATTTGTTTACAGATAACCAATCAACTGTTACCTGCAACATATTGATCATTGTGTTAAAGTCCCTGAAGAAGCCACTGTCTGAGTGACTGAGTCTGAAAACCATTTACCACAGCCTTGGACATTTTTTGTACTAATATAATATATATAATAATAATAATATATGATACTACATTGTTTTTGATATATTTGGGTGTTTTTTGTGTTTATGTTGACTAGAAAACATGCAATCTCCACACAGGTATACACTGTTTGTATCTGAAATACACAAGTAGCTAATTCAAGACATATATCCAGTGTGACAACAAGGTAAGCACTCATGCTAACCACCTAGAAATTATGTGTGAAGTGAACACTACCAAGTGTGCATGAATGCTGCATTACTCTTTAATACCACTAACCACATGCTGTCTGCCTATGAACTCTACATTATAACTTAGCTCTCTGTCTCCTGCTGGTGTTTGGTGCTGCAGCTTCATGTTGCCGTCAGTCAAACACACTGGTTGGCAGAGGAGAAAACTTGGTTTTCATGAGCTGCAGTTTGTATTTTGTTCACAATGTTCTGCAACGCATATTTTAATGCCTGTATTTATATTATCATCTATTGTCCAAGTGTCTGCCAATGTTTGTGTTGAATTAGCTGTATATTTAAATGTAGCACAAGTGCTTGACTTGGCTGCGGTTCAACAGAAACCTGGCTTTCCTTTGTTGCTGGAATTAGGTTGACGTGGACAGATCCTAATGTAAATGTCTGAACAGAGCCTGTCACTCATTTTCTCTTGCATTTCCCATTTCTTTCCCTGCCCCCCTTCTGGTTTCTGCTTTGGCTACATAGTGTCCCCACTTTGAACTTCCTACAGAAATGTCTGTGCCTATAAATGTAGTAGCTACCACAGGTTCTCTTTCATGATTAGAGGGTGAGGGTGAGATGAGGGGTATTCAGCTGCAACATGCAACTTCTCCACTAGATTTCATTAGATTCTACACGCTGAACCTTTAAGTCTGTGTGGATTCGTGTAAGCCTTATGTATAACACACATTTCTCCAAATGTATGGAGTTATGATCTCTGCAGGATTTTGTATGGGCATTTAATTACATTTTGGTATTACAGTTTGATGTAAAGCATCCAAACTTTGTATTTATTTATTAGAATATAAAAAAATATTTTGCATTGGTTATGGTATGGTGTTGGTGGAAGGGAGGAATGGTAAAAAAATACTATGGAAAGAGAATCATTTTCTTGTTGTTAATACGCCTTACTTTCCCCCTTCCTTTTAAAAAAAAAAGTAAACATAAAAAAGATCATGTTGAATATTTTCTTGCAGTTTCCAAGCCCAAGAGCTACTTTGTGAGCAATATATCATTATTATATCAAATTGCAATTTGAAAGGATCCAATATTTTAACCCAGCCACAATTTTAATATAACCTCGATAATAATGGATAATAATAATTAATTATTGAGGCTCTGAACACCAACACAGATGTTTACAAGACCTATTGAGGTTGAACCAGCTCCACCTCACCGCATTCAAATAACCTCCATGCGTGTACGTGGCTCCAGACGAGGATATCAGAGGAATTTTCATTTTTGTGAACCTTTAAAGCAACACTATGCAACTTGTTTAACCACAAAACAGCAGCTTTACAAGTTTGATGGTTCACTGACTTGGAGTAAGGAGAATGGAGATGCTTTCATTCCCACCCTTCACCCAGAACGTCTGTTCTTATGTGTAACTTTGGTGAGCAGGTGTGTTCTCCTGTGAGAAGTGTGTAACACTGAACTGTAAGTCAGTTAAAAAGGGTTAAAAGATGTTAGAACCCAGTGATTATCTCTGATATTCAGCCAGGAAACTTTTAAATATGACAAAGTCTCAACAAAGTTTGGTGTATTAGCTACAGAGACCTCTCCTCTGGTTCAGAAAGCCAGGGATCATGGGTAATATCCACAGTTCAGTTGCATTCTACAGTCAACTCAACACAAGCCTAGTTTTCCTTTTTGAGAACCACTTCATTGCTCAAACACAGAGCCCAATAGAATTTATCACCATGTGTGGCTGCAGAGGGCGCTATTACTCCGGACAAGTTACATAGTGTAGCGTTAATTACTATGATATATTTATTAGTTTTTGGATTAGAACATGTTTTTTAATGGACAGACAGAGATAATATGGGTTTCAATAGTTCCCCTTGTTTCACTGCAACGATAAATACATATTGAACATCTGTTCAGTCAGTGGACCTTGAGTTAAATTTGTCACTTTGGGAAGTTGTCTCCCTCAGAGTATGAACATGGCTGTCTCCTCTGGATTCACTGCAAACACACCACAGTCTGTGTGTTAGCCTTTATTGATTTTTTCAAGCAAGCACTCACTCCATGGCTGATTGTCTACTGGGCTGTGATTTGATTGATCAGTTTGTTTTAGGGTTTGGCATGACCAAACATTATGTGTCCTTAAACTCCACACCGCCTGCTGCTGTCAGTGTGCCTGCAGGGTG